TTCATTGTAATAGTTGCATTAATAAATTAATAATAGAACTACTTCATTAAATTATTTAATCCATTTTACATTTAAAGTGATAATTAATGGAGTAAAAATATTTATGAATCATTCATTTGCATATACTGCTCTTAAACCATTTTAAACAGTGAAGGATGATAGGTGAGGATGAAAACAGGTCAGTTAGCCCATCGTGATGAATTTAACAATTCTTAATGTTACTGCATAGAAGGTCCGCAATTGGGTTATATTTTTTTATGTTTGTTACCTCATAACTCCGTCAGCTATAAACCAATTTGGAAAATTCTTATTTATCTGAAAGGATTTTCATAGAAGTTTCATCGAAATCTCTTCAGTAGTTTAGTTTTTAAGTCATAATAACAAATTTTTCCACAATTGCAGGCTTTTTTTTTTTGAGGAAAACAATTTTATTATTTTTTTTTATCTGTAGTCAAAATTTTTTATTGGGGAACCTGTAATCTGGGAATGTTTATAGAATAAGACTCTATTTATCACAAAATATACTGTGACATCCATGGTAGCTTCCACTACAAGGAAATTTCGAGACACGTCCCAAATACTTGACGCCTGCAGTGATTCCAACAGTACAGTTAGCGTTTCCGATCCGTGTGAATGACCGCGGTGGACCGACCGCGTCGAGATTGGTTTAACCGACTTCAAAATAGGTAAGACTGTAGGTTTTTTTTGCTGGGTGAAAATGGTATGGTAACCCCGCCTGCGCTAACGGGATACGCTGACGGAGCACCAGTGAAGGGTGATAGATGAGAATGAAAACAGGCCAGTTAGCCCATCATGATGAGTTCATCAGGAATTAACTGTATATTTGTTTATGTACACTAAATATTAATAGTTGTAGCACTTCAGCTGCCCGCTAGCAACATGTTTTCTAACTGCATTGGGTTGACTGGAAGAGATCTCTGTCAGAGATAAGTCCACCCTTGCTCACAATATTTATAAATGCATTAAAAATGTAATTTACAAGTGCAATAAAGAATATAAAAGGTTGTCTGTAAGAGATTGCCCTAGCGATAAGACCGCCTATTGTACCTTTATGTATATATTTTGTTATGTATGTTTATGTATATATTATATTAAAATATGTAATAAAATATTACATAAATACATATACTATAAATAAATATAATACCTACCTACTTATACAATAGATGTTAAAATAAATGAATATACTACCTATAATAGAAATTTAGTTAAAGGAGAATAAATAGAAGAGGGTAGGTGGCGACTGAATATAAATGGATCCTGAAGTAGTAAACAAAAAAAAAAATACAAATTGAGTTTTTTTTATAACACAGGGGGCAAACGAGCATGCGGTTAACCTGTGGTCAGTGACTGCCGCCGCCCATGATCACCCACAACACCAACGGCATTGCAGGTGTACTGTTGGCCTTTTAAAAAGGAATATGCTCTTTTCTTGAAGGTTATGTTGTCGTATCGGTTCGGAAATACTGATGCTGGAAGTTAATTACAAAGAGTGGTTGTGCGTGGGAGAAAGTGCCTTGTAAAACGCACGGTGGAGGACCGCCACTCGTCCAGATGGTTGGGATGAAACTTTAGTTCATGGTGGGTTGTACGGTGGTGAAAATCAGTCTCTTCCTTTTTTGAAGTCGGCTAAAAATCTGTACTGTCGACTCATAGTTCTACGTCAAGTGTTCCATTGACCCAGATTCCTCAATACAAACCCGATTACGTTTTAGTTTACAATCGATGTTCCCGGGTTCGATTCCATTGCGGTTCTATAATTAACCGACTTCAAAAAAGGGGGGTTCTCAATTCGGTTGTGGCTTTATTACATTGAATTTTTTTGCCCCATAACTCCGTCAGTTGTAAACCGATTTGGAAAATTATTTTTTCTATCTGAATGGATATACAGATTAATCCCACAAAAATTTCATTGAAATCTCCCTGAATGCAGCCAGGTAATTACAATTAATTCGGTTATATTTTTTGGTTTTCTTTTTTTATTCAACTTAGAATGGCAAACAAACTGACGGCCAACCTGACGGAAAGTGGTAACCGTCGCCTATAAACATGAGCAGTACTATGGACATAACAGAGTATACTGTTTCGCCCATGACACCCCCCATGCGTTGCCGTGCAAACACAACTGCTTCACGGTACAAACACGAATGGGGCAGAGGTAGCCAAGCAATCGACTTTTGTACAAAGTCTCCCTCTGTTTATCATTTTATAACTTCGTCAATTATAAATTAATTTAGAAAATTCTTTTCTTATCTGACAGGTTTTTTTTTGATGGATGAAAATGGTATGGTAACCGCGCCTGCGCTAACGGGATACGCTGGCGGAGCACCAGTGAAGGGTGATAGGTGAGAATGAAAACAGGCCAGTTAGCCCATCATGATGAATTCATCAGGAATTAACCATGATAGTTTCCAGGAGGAACCGCGATTAGGTCGACCTGGCTGGGTATATTGCTAGCAATGGGATTCTCAGTCTCCATTACTAACAATCCCTTTCTATCTGACAAGTTATAATTCTAGATTAATAGTATAGAAATTTCATCAAAATTAATTCCGTAGTTTAGTTTTTAAATCATAATAACTGGTTTTGGACACGATCGAAGTCCGTTTTCCTGTAAAATACAAAGTCATTGGGTATTATGGACTGTGCTTCCAGATGTGCGTCACCCAGTTCCTAGAAACACAGGTATCTTGGCTTGAGGAGCAGGCGGATGGTGCGACTGCATGGCTTTCATAATAATAAAAAAAAAAAAACAAAAAAATATTGTCACGCGTAAAGCTTACACATTTTTCGCTACAATCGCACGTGTGCATTCGATTCCACGTTCCAAATTTAAACATTTACTACCCACTATTCATGTGAAACGACCTAGAAACGTTACGACGCTAGAGTACACCACGCCCTCTGGTGTCAAATGTTTCTAGGCCTTCAATATACACGAAGGTTTTTGCTGTGCTCAACTGCACGATGGTTTTACGTGCCCTCCGGAGCATGTGGCCAGTGACAAATCATTTTTTTAAATGATCGAACAATGAATATGTGAAATTTAAGTTTTTAGACTGAGATTCGGTCCTAGGATCTCTGAACTGTTGTCAAACATTGCCCAAGTGGGCTTTTATCTCAATTTATATTAAAGTAAAGCAATTGTGTTCGCATGGCTGTGTTTCGGTTTGAAGGGTGGGATATGGCGTGAATTTACAGGGCACAGAGGAATAACACCTGAGTCCTCAGGAATGGCAACGCATGGGAGGTATCATGGGCGAAACAGTATACTCTGTTATGTCCATGGTACAGCTCATGTCTATGGGCGACGGTTACCACTTTCCATCAGGTGGGCCGTCAGCTTGTTTGCCATTCTAAGTTGTATAAAAAAAAATATATCATCATCATCATATCCGCCGTTAACTGTCCACTGCTGGACATAGGCTTCCTTGGAAGGTTTTGACAATAGGCTATCGTGATGTTTTGAGAGGGACGCCGCTACCCGTCCCTCGATCGTTAAGCTCCCTCAGTCACCTCTTACGACACCCACGGGAAAGCAAACGGTGGTCCATTCTATGCCGGGACCACCCAGCAATCTTTCATTATAATTTTAGCGTATCAAATAAAATTTTATCAATGGTAGATTCTAGAAAGTTCAATCATACTTCTCGATTAAAATCTATTACCGTTTAAAATATTATTAATGCAATGAACATTTTCAATTCAATAGAAAGTAAAAAATGCACGCGTTATTATACAATCGTTTCATACTAATAACACCATCAAAGTTATTGCCATTTTAAACGCCATTTAAAAAGGGCTTTCTGTCTGTTTGTTACGCAGTAGGCTATAAATATTTTTTATGACTTTTTATCAGAACTAATTTTATTTCTTAACAGAACCATTGAACAAGAATGAATGGAGATATCGGCAGGTGTCGCTCTAAACGGTCGTCTGTCGACCAAATAGGCGACTTGCTGAAGAAAGGCCGAATTAAAAGTACCCGTAACAGGCGAGCGTGTATGAAAAGATTGATGAATGTGGAGGAAGCGAGAGAGGTCAGTTTGAATCGAAGCATTAGGCGTTCCATTTTTGTTGTTTCTGTCTACCCTAATGGGAGACGGGCGTGACCGATATGTATATATGTATGTTTTGTTAGAACTTTGGGTTGTTTAAAGCAAGCATTTGCTGAAAATACTACTGTTGGAAGTTGATTCCAAAGAGTGGTTGCGCGTGGAAGAAAGTGCCTTGAAAAACGCACGGCGGAGGACCGTCACTCGTCCAGATGGTTGGGAAGGAAATTTTAGTATATGGCGGGTTGTACGATAGTGAAAATCAGCAGCAAGTATCAATCCGAACAATTCCTCAGAACACTCGCCATGATAAATTCGGTAGAAGATGCACAGAGATGCAACATCTCTACGCAGTTTCAGTGGGTCGAGTCAGACAGTAAGTCTCTTTTAAGGAAAGATATTTTAAAACTAAAATAATAACTATTATAAATATACACTGATGCTTAGCTTTCGAAGTGAAACAGGAAAAAATGCACTGTATTTGCACTTCGACGTGCGAGACGTGACTTGCATACGAACTCACTATTGTCTTGAGGAAAATCTTTTATTTTTAAAACCAATTTATGTATTTTAAAAGTAAAAGTATACCGCCACACATAATTTTTAAACAAAAATATCGTTGAAACTATTTAATTTTTTTTTTAAATAAGTACCTTTCTATCTGGTTAATTTATGTAAAAGAAATTCGAGCGTAACATTTCATACAATATAGTTACTCTGCCTATTGAATTTTTTTGTTAACAATAGACCAAGTTCTAACATAATGCCAAAATGCGTAACTAACTTGCTTGCTCATTGATTTAGAATTACTAAAATCGGTCAGGATATGAATGTTTAATGAAAAAGCGAAAGTCCATGCAACTGGTTCCGGTGTCCTATCTCTCCGGACTCAGTGAAAGAAGAAATGGCTACGTACCGAACGCCGCGCTGTCAGTTTTGACGTTGCTTTTGGCGCGAAATGACGTTGTTAATGCAACTATTTTTTTCAAATCGCGTTTATTTACAATAATACCGTTAAATAAATATAAAATAAGAAATGACAATGGATTTAAAAGAGATTATAAAGTGGTTTATACCCTGTTTTCATATTTTGCTATATTTAAACAAAAAAATGAACACGCGATTGACTATGGTTTTTTTGTGTTTATTTTTTAATTTATTCCCTGTTCACGGAGCAAAAGTAAATAGTGTTGTACAGTTAGATTTAAGTTCAAATAGTATTAATGATACCAAAAAATTAGTGAATTTCGATGATGTATCTAAGTTTAACCAAAGTGAAGGAATTGAGAAGCGAGATGCAAAAAACTTAGGATTTAGTTCGGATGACACATCAGTCGGTAAGTTTCATAGTTTTAAGTACTAAGTAATTAACTAATATACTTATTAAATAATCTTATAAATATGAAAGCAAGTTTGTTTGCTATATCTATGGTTCAATGAATCGACGTGAAATTTTGTACACATACACAAATATTATATTTGAGGTAGAAACGAGTTAAGCCGATTTATCCCGGTCAATCGACATCCGGTTACGTGCAGACCGAGTGTTGTCGCGGGGAAAAGCTAGCGAGGAATTATGTTTTTGTTCCCTTCAATTTAATGATTAACTTTCTGTCTCCTCTATCGAGCAGCTTGCTTGCAATCGTGTTTCGAATTAAAAAAAATAATTAAGAAAAAGTATCACAAATGTTGGTAACAAATCATAATTGTCTTTATTCATGATTCTCGCTTTGTTGTAGGTTTGGTTAATATCGCTACCAATCCGATATCTATATATTGGTTTTTTTTTTTTTATATTAATGACGGAAAACTGTCATAAAATCCTTTTTTAAAATACTATCTCCCAAACTTTGTTTTTGGCGGATGCACTTTGTGCCGTGTCATATAATAAAAAAAAAAAATAAAAAAAAAACTGTCATAACCTATTTCAATATTGTTCATACTGGTCGGATTAATTTTGAACGTGTTCTTTATTTTAATATATCGATAACGAATATTTAATATATCGTTTATTGCACTGATATATACATATCCTACGCGTAACAAATGAACATACTCGTTTGCTTGGGCACCACTGTCCCATTCGTGTCTATATCGTGAAGCAGTTGTTTGTTGTGTTTCGGTTTGAAGAGGGGGATATGGCAGTGAATTTACAGGGTACAAAGGAATAACACCTGAGTCCTCAGGAATGGAATCGTGGACGAAAGAGTATACTCTGTAATGTCCATGGTATTGCTCATGTCTATAGGCGACGGTTACTACTTTCCATCAGGTAGGCCGTCAGCTTGTTTCCAATTCGACTCCGTCAATATATATATATATATATATATATATATATATATATATATATATATATATATATATATATATATATATATATATATATATATATATATATATATATATATATATATATATATGATATAATTTCTGGAAGAGATTGATTTCAAAGAAATTACATCAAAATAAGTTTAGTAGTTTTCGATTTTTTGTGGAACATACTCTGTTTTTATTGGGATATTTTAACTGCCTCATTAATTTACTCTCGGTTCTTATGTTTTAAAACGAACACCTGCCTAATAGCACTAGTTACTCGTTGCATATTGCATAATTGCATACTCTTCCATGCAACGAACGCATACAGTTGCATAAAACCAATATCGAATTTTACGCTCGGTCGAATGTTGTTTTAATTGGTAGTAATTATTAAAACTTCATTTGTTTCGCAACAGTTTCTAGAAATATTGTTTATGAAAATGACAATTATTGATAATATATTTAAGCGATTTACGAAACAAGGGATAGATAGATAGATAGATAATTTATTTGCATTACTTACTTACAGCACACAAATTACAACATACATATACAAAAAAAAAAAGCGAGATAACATAAATGATGAAACAAAATACATAAAGCCAAATACAATTTTCGTTTGTGCGTGTGCCATAGCAATACAAAATGGCCACAACTCAGTTTATTGCTTCGCCCTCAAAAGAACTCTCGCAAATCCTTTTAATGTTCAATTCTGAACCCTCTGATTGGTTTTCGTAGTTCTGTTTTCAATCGATCTGAGGTCAGGTATCAGTTCTCATTTGTATGTATAAGTGTTTTTGTTTATTTAGTTTAAATTTTTTAATTAAAATTCATTTTAGACTTAACCCTTCTTTGCATAATTTTTTTTTATTTGTGAAATAAATCAAGGTGATATAATGCATGTTCAAAATTAAAGGAAAAATGGTTTGAAAAATAAATGACTTGACAACTATGTTTTCTTTTCTGCAATGGACATTAAAATGGTATCCAGACACGATCAAATTAAAGTGAACTTGATTTTTTTATATAATTTTTGGACAATCAATGTTATGATGGAAATTTCCACCATTATGTAAAGAAGGGTTAAATAAACATACGTAGAATATGAGTGAGGAAAATGAAGGGGTTCGATAACCATCCAGAAATATAGGCCCGGGGCCCAGCCCTCTATGTCGAGGCTGTTTCGACGCCGAAGAAACGGCTGCTCTCGTAATCCTGGAATGTGAGGCTGTGGCCCGTCAACGTTTAGAAATCCTCGGAACGGTGAGGTCGCTCCGTGAGGCCTGTAAAGAACCCAGGAAGCTTCTGCGCTTCTGGACGGAGCTAGGTTGGCTACAGCCACGACTCATACGCACAACGGCCCAAATGAGAGGCTAAGCGCGGAAAATAAAGTCTTTCTCACATTTAGATTCACATATAGGCCCGGGACCTTCCACCCTTAAGCCACCATTGTGTTGGTCTCATGATAATCTTCCAAACCTTTTAATATTAATATTAGTAGGTTTATCTATAAAACAAATCATGTGTAAATACCTTGTTAAATGCCGTTCAATCGTACAGAGCAGACGATGCGTCCGCGGTGAAACTCGACGTTCATTGACCAACTTCGTCAAGGGCGTATACAAAGTTTGTTTACCTTACAGTCAAATACATATTATGATGAACTGTATCGATTATATATATATATATATATATATATATATATATATATATATATATATATATATATATATATATATATATATATATATATATATATATATATATATATATATATATATATATATATATATATATATATATATATATATATATATATATAATCAAATTCATCTCTATTCACACAGACTTATTTACACTTTTAAATGGTATTTTTTTTTTAATCTACTGCTGGGTTCGGAGAGTTGTTATCTGTTGAGAAGAGCCCGCAAGAATCTCAACAGTTATTCTTTTAAATCATTATCTATCAACATTATATGTATTTATGTCTAATAAATAAAAATAATAAATAAATTACATACTAATAATTACATATTATAGAGGGGAAAGGGATCGTTAGCGATAGGGAGGTTAGTCCCCATCGCTATCAATATACCCTATCAGCCCGACCTCCACGCGGTTCCCCCTGGAAACTATCGTGACTAATTTATCGTTGAATTTGTCACGATGGGCTAACTGGCCTGCCTATTCATCCTCACCTATTATTCCTCACTGGTGCCCCGCCAGCACATACCGATAGCACAGGCGGTGTCATCATTCCATTAACACCCGTGAAAAAAAAAATACATATTTTAATTATACATACGGTCATTAAAAAGCTTTAATACATATGTTGTAGTAAAATAAAAACATAGATTTACACTGGTCTATTACATTAATCATAATAATAAAAGTCAAAGATAGAAAATCATAGATTAAATAAAAAATTGTGTCCCACAATAAAACCTAATTCAGTTGTAAGAAGACCCACTTATTTTGATACTAAACCGATTTTGATAAAATTTCTAAAAAAAAAAACAGGAATCGAAACTGGAAATATCTCGTCATAGTCGTAGAATACCGACGGATCTATATATGTAATATTTGTCAGATCCGTCGGTATTCTACGACTATGACGAATATGTACGAGTATATCAGAAAGAGTGAACTTAGAAAATTAGTGCCCTAAAGGAAAGTTAAAAGGGAACAATAGACAAGACGTGTCAATTTCGAATTTGGCATATAATGGTGTAAAAATCATAAACAATGCAAGTGGCGTGGACTCCACAATGGAGCTCGATAACTACTCGACCGTTTTGAAAAATTCCTTCACCTATAGGAAGCTAGATTAACAGCGAATAAGATAGGCTATTGGGGAGGCTTATGTCCAGCAGACGAATAATGGCTGAAAGAATTATAATAAAGATAGATATATATATATTATTTGTGTTAAAAAAAATTTAGAACCCCCCCCCCCTCTCCTACGAAAATTATAATAATGTTGACAATGATGAATCCAAAGTATCAAAAATTTGCCTATAGACTACTACAGGAATGATACAGGAATGGCATTCGGAGTATCATGTGCGAAACAGTACACTCTGTTATGTCCGGGGGGAAAGGGATTGTTAGTAATGGAGACTGAGAATCCCATTGCTAGCAATGTACCCGACCAGGTAGACCTCCTCGCGGTTCTCCCTGGAAACTATCATGGTTAATTCATCGTGCCTTCCACCAAATTGTTTGTAATTACTCCTCTCCATCCAAAGGTTGCCTGCAAGAGTTCGCTCTTAGCGATAAGGTTGCCCATTGTTTTCTCACTGTGATTATTTCTTGTAATTATTTATATTTAAAATAAGTTTACTATTGTAATCTTTTGGAGGGAACAATAAAGAGTATCTATCTATCTATCTAAAACATACAGTAACAACAATAAGTTAATAACAATGTTAGCAAAGGCGAACTTATCTCTAAAAGAGATTTCTTCCAGTCAACCTATTTGAATGCGGTTTTCACTAATGCGTTGCGGTTTACACCACTTAACATTTAGCGTTTGTTTTATTTCAATCGGTCGTTAAATAAAAAAGTTATATCAATCTAAAGAGTCATCATCATAATCATCTCCCACTGGTAAAACAACCAATCAGTTGTATTCCATTATCACCCATTAAAAAGAAGCCATTAAGTAACGCTATAAAATAACGTTTAAGTATATAATACAATATAAGACTGACGGCCCACCTGATGAAAGAGTCGCCTATAGACATGATATACGGGACATACATACAAGCTATATTGATTCACCCATATGCTATTTTGCCATTCCTGAGGACTCAGGTGTTACATCATAATGTAACTTAAGTACAAACCGAAACACAGCCATGCAAACACAACTGCTTTTCAGTTGAAACACGAATGGGACAGAGGTAAACGACTTTTGTACAAAATCTCCTTCTGGTAAAAAAAAAACGATTAAGTAGAGGAGTTTTATGAACGCAATAGAACACAAAAGAATGATTTTTAAAATTTTTGTCTGTTTGTTTGCACGTTTGTGCACGTTAATCTCAGAAACGGTTTAACCGATTTGAATGCGGTTTTCACTAATGCGTTGCGGTTTCCACCACTTAACATTTAGTGTTTATTTTATTTCAATCGGTCGATAAATTAAAATAATAAAAAAAGTTATATCAATCTAAAGAGTCACATATAAAATGCTATAAAATAACCGATCAGTTGAATTGGCTGTAACTTTATGAAGGTGTTAGGTACGTAATTATCGTTTAAGTATATAATACAATACAAGACCGGACTCATGGAGAGTTCCAATGGGAATGATATACGGGAACTACATAGTTAAAGGCAAGCAACGCCGCAGGAAATGGCCAGTAAATAATATATATGGCCTGTATTCTACATTAACAAACAAACAAACTCGCTTCGCTTTCACATTACTTATATCAATAACTATATAATAATGCAGAGCAGCTCAGACATGATCCAATTTAAAAAAAAAAGTCATATAATTAGCTTGACCCAGATTGAAACCCATGTCCTCAATAGCGTAAAATACCATCACATTGCACCATAGCGACCGATTATAATAAATTTACTATGATGAATCGTAGCACGCGCATGGCATTCACTTTTACTTTTTTTTTTATTCTGTAATTTGCTTTTCGACCGCCTCTATGATAAAAACCAGTGTTTTTCAACCTTTTCAGTGACACGCCCCCCCCCCCTGGTATGAAAAAATATTTTACTACCCCCGAACCTTCGCTTTTTTGTTATGTCATTTTCTAATATTACAAAGACGTTGTAGGGACTGAATACTTCAATCCAGGGGGAAAAGGATTGTTAGCAATGGAGTTTGACAGCCCCATTGCTAGCAATATACCTTATTAGGTCGACCTCCACGTGGTTCCCCTGGAAACCATCGTGAACAATTCTTGTTGAATTCGTCACGATGGGCTAACTGACCTACTTCATCCTCACCTATCATTCTTCACTGGTGCCCCGCAATTGTATACCGATAGCGCGGGTGCGTTGCCATTCCATTATCATCCATTTAAAAAAGAAATACTTCAATCCGTACAACATTTTTATGCATATTTAGGTTTCGGATAAATACAGAAATACAGTTGGTTGAAAAACACTATATAATTTGTTTTCAACGCGTGGGTCGCGACCCCCTGGGGGTTCAACAACTATCTGAGTACAAAAATGTATTCTATGTAAAAATATATGTACTTATTTCTGTATTTATTCCAAATCTAATTACGCAAATGCATAAAAATGTTGTATGGATTTAATTAATCAGTCCCTACAGCGTTACATTAGAAAATACATGGAAAAAAATATACTTTTCACTAGACAGATAGAAAGATAGATACTCTTTACTGTTTCCTCTAAAAGATTACAATAGTAAACTTATTATAAATATAAACAATTACAAGAAATAATCACAATGAGAAAACAATGGGCGACCTTATCGCTAAGAGCGATCTCTTCCAGGCAACCTTTGGATGGAGAGGAGAATTATAAACAGTTTGATGGGAGGCACCAAGGAAATTATATAATTATGTTAATATATAATAAGACCATGTAGTACAATTAAATTTTTTAAATTTATTTTTTAATAAATTTTTTTTTATCGTTTCTCTTGCCATTTCTTCGTTCAATCGTAGAGTTTTTTTTTTCTTTTCTATTTACAATATAACAAGTTACGTTCACATGTCACGTTACTCGGACCGCAGCCTACTTTTTCCACGCGGCCCTGATCGTGATGACCGCGACCGCGGCATTATCATCACTTTCTATTTCTTTTAAATCATTTATTTACATTTTTATGCCTTTTGTATTGTTATTACATCTTTTTTAAGCAAATAAGCACTCTGCTTACGATATTACGTGCTTGGTGGTCCGGGTTAATGCACTGTCTGCTTTTTCTATGGCCTTTCTATGGCCATGGGTTCGATTCCTGAAGAATACATCAATTTTTTTATTTTTTATTCAACTTATCTTATAATGTCAAACAATACTCCCCATGCGTTGCCATTCCTGAGGACTCAGATGTTATTCCTCTGTACCCTGTAAATTCACTGATGGAAAGTGGTAGAAACACGTGGAACAGCCTATACAAAGTCCCCCTCATGATAATATAATAATAATAATATTTATTTAATCAGTACCATTTTGTTAGTTATAAATTGAACATGTTAGTAAATGAGCGGTCATTCTCTCCTACATTGATAACCTGTCCCAGGATGGGACAGTCAATTTTATCAGCAATTCGTCACAGTTGTAGAATACTGACGGATCTGAAAAAAGATTACGTATAAAGATCCGTCAGTATTCTACGACTGTGACGATATGCGTGACACACTACAGCGACGGGGTAGCCCCGATAATATTAAAAGATTAATAGATATAATCTCGTTTAACGTCAAATCTCTTTTGCCTACTACGAATAGAATGCTTCGTCGCTTTCTTTCGATTACATTATTAATTTGAAATTTAATGAAAGTCTTATATAGCGACGCGCAATTGTTAAAGTAATTACACATAAACACGAGAACCTTTCAATATGCGTGATGAGATTTCTCATTTTTTTATATATTATATAGTTTCTTAGATGTGACCGAGGAGCTGCTAAATAAGCTTGAGCGGTTGCAAAGTTTAGCGATAAGGTTTATTTTCAGCTTACGAAAATATGATCATGTCTCGGAGTACCGCACTCGTTTAAAGTGGCTCCCAATTAGACATTGTCATGAGACACATGTCCTAGCGGTCCTATATAATAAATATCCTTAATGATCCCAATTCTCCTGCCTACCTTCGTTCCGTTTGCTAACATTGTTATTAACTTATTGTTGTTACTGTATGTTTTAGTACAATAAAGAATATATATATATATATATATATATATATATATATATATATATATATATATATATATATATATATATATATATATATATATATATATATATATATATATATATATATATAAATACTCTTACATGCTGTATGCATGCATAGCCGTCAGATCCCGGCATAGAATGGACCACCCTGTAGTCTATAGGCGACGGTTACCACTTACCATCAGGTGGGCCGTCAGCTTGTTTGCCATTCTAAGTTGTATAAAAAAAAGAACTATTCCCTAACCAGTAGTTAAGGCTTAAATACTATATGCAGGTATAATCCGCTAGTTGTCGAATGACGTGCGTCGGTAGCTGGTTAAACAATACGCCGAGTTAGTAGTAATACTTATTGTTGGTATGATTCCAGGCAGAACCTTCGGCCGGCCGCTGAAGAAGATGATGGGGGCGCTTTTGCCGGTGCTGTTCCAGATTGGCGCAGCGTCCACGTGGGCGGTGGTGGCCGCGATGGTGGGCGTCAAGACCTTGCTGGTCACGCTCGCCATACTGAAGCTGCTGCTCATGGCTGGTGCTGCTAAGGTATATTTAACTAGTAGTTTTCATTAGAGGGAGACTTTGTACAAAAGTCGTCTATTTGGGTACCTCAATCCCACTCGTGTTTCTCCCGTGAAACTGCTGTACTTGCATGGATATATTCCAGTTTAAAGGCTAGGATATGGAAGTGAAATTATAAGGTACAGGGGCATAACACCATAGTCCTCAGGAATGGCAACGCATAAGGGATACCATATTGGATGGATGGATTACGCATAAGGAAAGGTACTGCTTATGTCTATTGGCCACGGTTACCACTATCACTTTATACAACTTAGAATGGCAAACAAGCTGACGGCCCACCTGATGGAAAGTGGGGGTCGCGTATAGACATGAGCAGAAACATAACAGATGTACATGTTTCGCCCATGATACCCCCATGCGTTGCCATTTTCCATCAGGACTCAGGTGTTATTCCTCTGTCTGTAAATTCGCGTCATAAAAACCAACGCAAACCGAAACACAGCCATGCAAACACAACTGCTTCACGGTTTAAACACGAATGGTACAGAGGCGCCCAAGCAATCGACTTTTGTACAAAGTTTCCGTCTGGTATATGTGTTATGTGCTTAGTGAAGACGTGCGCATAAAACAGAAAATTATGTTTGTGCAAAGACGACCAGTTATCTAAACATATAAATTAACTGGGATATTGGAATGGACCAAAGCGGTCAGCGTTCTAGTTGCGAATTTAAAATTTTTAGAATTCCGCATCTAAATAGTTGAAAAGAACCGTGACCCATAGTTATCGGCCGTTTTGTATTTAACACACATTTTGTATTTACATTTTTTTATACAACTTAGAATGGCAAACAAGCTGACGGCTCACCTGATGGAAAACGGTAACCGTCGCCTATAGACATGAGCAGTACCATGGACATAACAGAGTATACTGTTTCGCCCATGATACCCCCATGCGTTGCCATTCCTGAAGACTCAGATGTTATGCCTCTGTACCCAGTAAATTCACGCCATATCCCACCCTTCAAACCGAAACACAGCCATGCAAACACAACTGCTTCACGGTTGAAACACGAATGGGACAGAGGTACCCAAGCAGTCGACATTTGTACAAAGTCTCCCTCTTATTTTTCTCTGCTCATTTCTGTAGTTCTAATAATTTTACTTCTTCGTATCTAACAAATTATTCACGTACTACATTTACAAAATAACATGTCTAAAATAATCGGTGTGTAAGTCCCAGCTTTGAATAGGCCACCCCTTCCTTTCCCATGGATGTCGTATTAGGCGACTAAAGTAACTTAATAGTCGAGCTATAGGCGGCAGCGTCCCTCTTAAAACATCACCAAAGACTAGCTACCAAGCGTGGCAACTACTTGCATGAAGATAAACTTCGAACATTGTACGGAACTCTCATCATTCGACATTGGCTACTGGCCGCTATTCTTCTTATAACAAGGTCAAATCCACAATTTAAATCAATGCGCATAATTTAAGAGATTTGTATACCAAAATTGTTTTCTAAATTACATACTAAGATGGAGATTGAACCGTCAAATTATTTTTCTTTCTAGAGACACCGAATAATTGTTCTCACCTTATTTTTTAAGGCACTTTCGAATGTTTAAACTTTTTTGTTTACTTCGTTCGTTTAATTTATTTATAATTATATTGTTATTTGACAATGAAGTGTGGGGGGTAAGGGGTTATTAGTAATAAGCTGTAACTGCCTACTTATAGTTTATTTATTTATTTATTTTACACTCTATTGCACCAAGTAAAAAGAGAAATAACAAATACAGTGAATATTAATGAGAAGTGATACAAAAGGCGGCCTTATCGCTAAGCAATCTCTTCCAGACAACCTTTGGGTAGAGGACATTGAGTAAAAGACAAAGAGGGTGGCGCACTATTATGTAAATACTATCATATATAAACATATATACATACATATATACGGTGCTTTATATTATTCCCAAATTCGTGTATAATATAGTATATATCATATATGTGTAAGTATATTTGTTATTCATATATATTTATTCGTTTATATATGTAATTTCAGTATGTATGTATATCAATAATTACTAGTACCGCATTCGAGTATTCTGGCACTTCCCTACGGTTGACTGGGAGAGAATGCTTTTAGCATTAAGTCCGCCATGTACACATATCTGTACTAATGAATAAATAAATAAATACATACACATACATATATAATATATACACAATTAAATATATACATAACATACACATACTTAACAGCACACATTAATATAATAAATTAATACAAAACCATTAATATAGTTTTGTATGAATTTATTTGATTAAGTCGATTGACAGCTTTTTTTATGCAACCTGAAAGGGTATATTGCTAGCAATGGGGCTGTTAAGACACCATTACTACTAATCCCTTCCCCCTGCCAAGGCTGGCTAGTTACAAAGTTTTTTTTTTATACAACTTAGAATGGCAAACAAGCTGACGGCCCACCTGATGGAAAGTGGTAACCGTCGCCTATAGACATGAGCAGTACCATGGACATAACAGAGTATACTGTTTCGCCCACGATACCCCCCATGCGTTGCCATTCCTGAGGACTCATATGTTATTCCTCTGTACCCAATAAATTCACGCCATATCCCACCCTTCAAACCGAAACACAGCCATGCAAACACAACTGCTTCACGGTTGAAACACGAATGGGACAGAGGTACCCAAGCAATCGACTTTTGTACAAAGTCTCCCTCTGGTAAATTATTAAAGCGTGTAAAGTACGTCTGTAAGTCAGTCTGATGACCCATCGTGACGAATTCGACAAGAAATAACGCTAGGATAGTATCCAAGGGGAAGCGCGTGGAGGAAATAGCGCACTTTCAACACTGTATTTCTTCTATTGAATAATATTCATTGTTGTCTTGTTTCATAGATATTTAACATAATAATTAAAAATGATGTCCCGCAGAGCATGTGATCTTGATGCTAAGCTCAAGGTGACACTCTTAGAGTTAAAAAAATCCAATGAATTAAATAAGGCCTTATTACAGGAACGAGATGAAAGTGAGATTGAAATTAAGTTGATGTCTGATAAATATGTGGCTCTGAAGAATGACCTAGTGAAGATCAGTACAGACTTTGAAGTTCTACATATCGAAAAAGAAAAACTTCAAGAAATTGTAAATAAATATGATCTGTGCAGAGACACATATGAGTCAGCATTGCAGAAAATCACTCATCTAGAGCGGCACCTTGAGGAAGTTCAATCACAAAATAAATCTTTGTTGGATCACAGGCGGTTGAGTAGTTATAACGAGACCATGGATCTGTATACAGAAATGTTAAATACTACTAGTGATCAAACATCTGCTCTGCCCCTTGTGACCATAGATTTGACAAATACACCAAGCTCCTATAGTCCTAATAAAGTACCTATTAATAGTAGTAAGAAGTTAAAAAAATATGTAAAATTAAATAAATTTATTCGAAAATCAGAAAATTTAGTGAAAAGTCATAAAAAGTGTTTAAAATCAATTATTACTAGGAAGCAAAAAATTGACTTATCAATAGAATTAAATAATTGTAAAGAAAAATATATAACAAAGATTTAGAAATAGATGAATTATCACAAAAAATTAAACTATTAGAGAACTCGTTGTCCAATTTATCTTTGAAATACGAATCAGCTGAGAATGAAATACATGAATATTCTGATCAGTTGGATAATTTAATAAAATTGGGTAACTACAACATGGAGCGGTTTGTTTCTCTTACGGATAGATGTCACTGTAATTCACCAGAGTCTGATAACTATATCCAACCGTCCCACCATAATCAGTTGAACATTGATATCTCATCCGTCACGGAACCAGACGTTTCATGTTTACCCACACGAAACAGTACAAAAGTAAATAAATGCAGCACTGTACATGAAACCATCAGGAGAACAATTGTTTATTCAGATGAATTTGGCAAGGATTTAGGTAGTTTATTATCGAACTGCCTCTCGCAACAAGTAATAAATAATTGTTTTCCGGGATCAGGTATATATAAGATTATAAAAAATATAGTAAATGAAAAATATGATATTCACACGACCCTAGTAATAGCGTTAGGGAATTGTTTGCATATGCGTAAATCTGATATAGTTAATTTAATAAAATCATTATATAATATAGTGGAGCTTGGTATAGGTAAAATATTATTATGCGCATTTCCCTACTCTCAATCCCTGACTAATGAACAGAATAAGTTCATTTATAGTATAAATAATTTAATTTATTCGATGACATATCATTGTAATGATATATTTTATTTTGAAAGTAACAAATTTGTTACAAATTATTATATGACGGGAGGTAATTTTTATCTTCCTAAAAAACAAAAAAAGACTATTGCTAGTTTACTAGCGTATAACATTTATGATCCCATTATAAGTAGTATAACGGGTTTAATTAGTAATATTAGTAATTATACTAATAATGTGACATGTGTTAATTTAAACTAACATCTACGACATTGGTTAAGCCACAGGATATGGTCATTATTCATCAAAATATTCGTGGCTTCTCCAGCAAAGAATTAGAATTAAGTCTTTTCTTAGAATCTAACAATGTACAGGTGTTATGTCTGACAGAACATTGGCTTAAACAATATGAAATAATTTGTCCTTTTGAACATTATAATATAGCTAGTTTTTTTGCTAGGAACAATGCCATTCATGGCGGGTCAATTATTATTTTAAAAAATGATGTAGAATATAAAAACCGTCAAGACATTGTAAATATTTCTATTGAGCAAACAATTGAACTATCTTGCGTAGAATTAGTTACTTGTATAATAATTTGCGTTTATCGTCCGCCGTCGGCTTGTTTTGATTCTTTTGAACTGGCTATGGAGGAAGCATTGAGACGAGTCGCACGGAGGAATAAAACATTATTTGTATGTGGCGATTTTAATGTTGATTTATTATCGGAATGCTCAATAAGCTTAAGATTGATTAACTTATTTAAATCATTTAATTTGCACA